ACGGTGTTTTCTCTGTTCCCCCTTCACTCCTGGATGTATTTCAGGTCTGGGGCTGGGAAGGAGATTATGTGTCATGGGGGTGGGGTTAGATGTCCCATCCTAATGCCAGATTCCTCTTAGAATTCCAATATCCTTGTCTGGGGCCCCAGAAAATGCAGATCTATCCCTGGGACCTCTCTGCCCTGGGTCCCCATGTGCTATCTCTCACGCACCCACTCCACCATGGCGTGACACGTATTTATGGGGCATGCCAAACTCCAGAAGTAAGCAAAAATCTCTTTACCTCTTGGTATCCCCAACGAATCTAGGAGTTCTCTCTGGCACTCTCCCCCTCCCAGCAGGGCACAAGGCTCCTTCTCAGGGACCTGCCACATTCTAACATATCCTTTCCTGGTCTGCATCTTTTTATCTGGTTCACAGACTGGGTGGCCTGGCTCTTTGAACTTCTAGTGTTAGCTTTATGCAAAGCTTCCTTCAGGTACTGGCCTTCTGTATTCCAAAATAGTGATACTTTGTTAGCAAATCAAAAACCGTGAATTCTAAGAACATTGTCTCTGCTGAGTTGGAACAACTTCTTTTGGAACTTAAAGCCAATAACTGGACTCCGTTCTTCCCGAGGCAATGACTGTGCCCTGGGAACATGAATGCCACCGACAGCTCAGAATTCCATCCACAGCACCTGCTTTCCTGAGGCCACATCTCACTCCAGAACCTTTGAGGTCTTCCACCAATGTCTCCAACTCGGTCCACTGTGCTGTTAGTGTGCCAAGGCATATGCAAAGCTCTGGGGTGTTTACAGGGCATCTTCCTGGTACACTGATTTTACTTAGAGTCTAGGAGTGAAAAGCATTTTTCTATTACATAAACATGCCCCTATTACATTGTCAGATGCAAAATTCACATGTGTTTTTAGGACAAAACAGAAGAGGAAATTCCAAACATGCTGGGCTGCTTTAGACTCTGTCCCCAGATCCCCAAACATGCATACTCAGGGTCCTCTGCTATTAATTCTTTCCCTGGGAAAGTTTGGGACATACTGGTTTGCTGTCCACATGCCTTGACCTTGTTTTCAATGCCCTCTTAACTCCAACCTCATCCTACTTATCCAAACCAGTTTCTGAGTGTGACAACTCTGTTCCACAACCTTCCTAAAGCTGTGACTCCTAATGAATGCATCATGGCCCAATGTCTCTGTAAACCTTCCCCGACTATTGTGCAGAATTAATCACTTTATTCTCTGGGCTTCATAACACTTTCTGTCCAGCTCTATGAAAGCATTCCTACAGTGCCACCATTATAGTGATAATCTGTGCCTCTCTTTAAACCCCTTGAGGGCAGGGCCATGTCTCATTGTTTTTCATACTCTCAGAGCCCAGCACAGTGCCTGATACACAGTGGTCTACATGGGGTGTCAGGGCTCCTGTTTGGGGGGAAAAAAGACTTCAAAAGTAGGACCAGTCTGGACGTTCTTGAGATGATTGCCCATTCATTCATTACTTGTTCATCCTTTCATCAAATACGGATGAAATGTCCGATGATATGCTGGTCACTGGGATAGAAAAATAAATAAGACACGGACCCTGCACTTGAGATTTTCATAGTCCATGGGGGACAACTATCAACAGACAAACCAATGCCCTGAGTGTTCATCTTAGAAAAGCTATGTAGCCTTGAGGAACATGGAGTGGATGGGCGTACTCGTGGCTGTGGATACTATTCAGACCTCAATTTCTTCTTTAGGCCTAGATTTTAGAATAAAATCGGTTCTCACCTCCTTTGCGCCAGTGCTTTGCTGAGTGTTTAACATGGTTTATCTAGTTCAGTCTTCACAATAGCCCGGGGAGGTGGCATTATTATTTCTAGTTCTATTCTCCAGAGGAGGAAACGGAGGCTTAAAGATGCTTCACAGTGTATATAACAAGGCCATTTATGGAGTGGAGTCCATTTGACCCAGTGCCTGTGACCTTGAACCCTGTCTACACTGCCTCAGGGGAGAGAACCAACCTAGCGGCTGTCAGCAGAACAAATAGGTGGGCAGGAGGGAAATATGTGAGCCCCATTTTAGAGTGGGGCGCGGGGGGAGCCCATTGGACTTCGGGTGAAATCTCTAATGGGAGAGAGAGACAATCTAAATTGAGGTGCCTGAGTGAAAACTGTAAGGTCCCAGCTCCTGTGTCGTCATCCCCATCCTTGTCAATCTGCTGCCCTCCAACTGTTTCTCTATAGATTAGCAGTGAAAATAAACACAAAGAAATAAGGGCACAAAGGGGAAGGGCCTGTGGCTGGGCTTAGGAGTCAAGGATGAAAGGGGAAACTGGAGAGTTGGGATCAACTCGGTAGTGAGTCTCGAGGGGAAACAGGCTCAAAGAGATCAAATAGGGTCAGGTTTATAAAAGAAAGGAAAGCCAGGAGATCCACAACTAGTGGTAAGGAAAAGAGGCGGGAGGCCCGGAGCAGACAGAGCTGGCAGCAGGGGGCCGGTGGGGAGCCTGTGGGTTCCCTGCACCCCTCTGAGCCCTTGCTCTTGCCCATCCCGTTTTGCTCCGGCCTCCCGCATCTACAGCATCCCTGCATCCCCGCATATGTTCAGTCAGCTGTTCAGAGGCAGGAACAACTGAAAGGAGTAGAGAGCTGTGAGCGTGAAGGTTACTCGGGAAAGCATCATAGCACGGTTTCATTTGCCACCTTAGCGTGGCCCAGGAGGACAGTAATTGGTGGCTTTTGACAGCTACCAGTCAGTGGCTTTAATCTCACATCCCACAGAGCCCCTACTACATGCCAGGCTCTGTAGGGAGGCCAGGGACACAGAAGCGGGTGAGACGGGTCCACATCTAAGGTGCCATCACCCGGGCAGAGGAAACCAAGAGTTGTAACGTAGTGTGTTGAGGGCTCCATCCAAAATCACGGAAGGCACCTGACCCACTGTGGGGAGGGGCAGCTGGAGGGCGACCAGGGGCTTCTAGGGCAACAGAAACCTGGACATTTCTCTTGTTTCACTCTGGGTCCCAGGTCCACCTCTCTGTTTCTATTGAGTTTGTTCAGGTTTTTCCGTAAGATGTTATGGAACAACCCAAACGAACTTTTCGGCCAACCCTAAATTTTAAATTACTCCAGATCAAAGGCCACTACTGTTTCCCTCCAACTCCTTGGTAAGATGGCGCTCCTTCCCGCCACTCTGAAGTTCATTGTTCCCACAGAAAAACATGGACATATAATATCTTACCAATAATCTCACTTTACTTTGACTTTTCTGGGCCCAGTCAGATTTAGACTGCTTTCAATCCATGAGTCTTCTTCTGGGGAGGGGGCGGTGGAGGCACATCCTGCCATCCACACCTTCCCGGGTTCGAACCGTCTAGGCAGCCCAGATCTCCCCACGGGAATCTTTCTTCTCACACCCACACCACCTGCGGTCCCCACTCACAACCCTGCCCGCTGCACCGATCTCTGCCTCTGCATCCTCCCTCAAGGTGCTTCTTGCCTACAATGTCCCGCTCCCCGCTTCCTTTCCTATACTGGTCCTGGGCGTCTTCAACATCTAGTGCATTCTATCAAATCCACGAAAGTTTTCTGATACTTTTCTCTGTACCTCCCCCATTTCTTTTTTTCTCTGAACAAACAGAGTCAGTCTCCTCCACCTTTGACCTTTGGGGAGTGGAGAGCCAAGAATGGTGTGGCATCCCACCATTCCTGCAAAGGAAGGGGCAGCATTTCCTCCAAACGACAAAGGGCTTGTCCCTGTAGGTCCACATTCCTGAGCCCTCTCCTCAAAGGATCAAGAGGCACAGGGAGACCCTTAGAAACACAAAGTCATTCCCTTACTGTCTCATCCCGGATAATCACTCACGCTGAGCAGAGAGGGAAGCACACAGCATCATTCATTTTACTCCCCAGCTGCCTCCCCAGGGGCGAGTGTGCATAGGTAAATTTGCTGCATATTTTAGCAAGGCTGCAGTAGATTACTGGGGTGACCATATGATTTATTGCCCAAGCCAGGACACTCTGAAAATGAAAGGGCATTCTAAAAATAACTAACAGGCATTCATGGATCTACAACAGATGTAACCCGAGACTATCCTGGATATGTTCCCCCTATAGAAAATGCTGGGTGTTCAGGGACCCTCGACACTCTTCAACTACACGTCAGTCAGGGACTGCTTTCTATCCAGCCGTATTTATCATTCATTCAATAAAATATCCATGTGCCAGGCCCTGTGGACAGCCCTGTAAGGAAGACAAACCCTGCCCTCATGGAACTTACATTCTAGTCGAAAAGGCAGAAAGTAAACAAATGAATAGAAACTATACTATCAGGTAGTGATAAGCTCTGAAAAGCAGAGCCCGAGGGAAGGGGAGAGATGTGTGGCGTGGGGAGGGAAGGCCTCTCTGAGGGACCTTCTGAGGGAACAGTGTGCAGACCCTGAGGTGGGAGGGGGCTGGGAGGCTTGGGGAACAGGAAGAAAAGGGGGAAACAGATCAGGAAGGGTCAGGAGGCCATAGAAAGCTCAGATTTGATTCTGAGTGAGATGGGAAGCCGTTGGAAGGTTTGCGCAGGCCAAGGCTGCAACCTTACGTGCGTCTTACAAAGAATCACCCTGGCTTCTGGTGGAGAGAAGAGTGCAGAGGCGCCAGCATGGGAAAAGGAGCCCAGGCTGTTGTAATCGTATGACTGTGGGGTGCTGGTGGCCTGGGCCATGGCGGAAGAGGTGGTGCTGGCACAGAAGTGGCTGGACTCAGGAAGCATGGCAGGGGTGGCATCTCTAGGACTCGGGAGTGGGCGGGAGTGGATGCCGTACAGTAAGCCCAAGACCCTGGGACAGGGATGAGCCCAGCCAGTCCCAGCCCGGCCTTCAGCTCCTTCCGAGGCTTGTTCTCAACCTGGCGTTACTTGGAATTTGGACGCCACACGAGCAGCTCTGGTCCTCCAGGCAGGAGGGGAGGCCCTGGCCACCCTTACCTTTGGCTCTGTGGTCTTCCTCCTTGGGGCACTTGCCCCCTTCCCACCACTTGCGCTTCAGAATTTCCAGACGGTTGTTCTCCTGCAACTGGAGAATGGCCAGATCAAACTCGTCCCGGAAGACGGAGCCTGTGGGTCACAGGAGAGCCCGGAACACAGGACGTGAGCGCCCCCGTCTGCATCTCTCTGCTCCCTCCCCGGCAAACCTCCCTGCCACCCTGCCCACGTAACATAGGAGGGGAGGGACAGGGGTCCCCCCGCAGGAGCACGGCTCTCTACTGGCTAAGACTGAGGACTCTCCGCGCCATGCAGGGCACCAGGCGTTTCTACTTTCCTTCTCTCCACGCTGACTGGCACGCCCAGCCCACGGCCAAGACCCCAGCATGGGTCAAGTGACAGCCTTCCGGGCAGCTGTGCCGCCCACCTCCCCACCCAGGCGCCAACACTTTCTACCTGGGTGAACCCACCTCCCCACCAGCATGCGGGAAGCTGGTTGCAAAGCTCCCGGTCCGCCTGCCCCTGGGAGGCCGAGGAGGGAAATCTTCTGTGACACAAACCTCGCAATCAGTTGTCTATTTTCTACTTTATTGAAGTTAGTTTCTCTGCCATTTGTAACTCTCACTACATTACACCCGACAACTGTTTACCCGGAGCGGCCACCAATAAGAAAAGGGCCACCCAGAGCGAGGTGGAAGCTTCCTCTCCTCCATCTGTGTGGAGAATCGGTCTGGGGCACCCCCTTTCCCGCACAGCTGCCTGCTGGGTGCCCCAGAACCCCTGACACCGTCCACTACTCCGTTTACATCGCTCCTCTCTCCCTCCTCAGACAGAAGGCTCTGTTGAGTGCAATTCTTTTTAAATTTTTCGTATGGGGTATGGTCAAGGAGCTTTGGTTCTGGAATGTAGGTTGAATCACAAAAACAGGCTTAAATGAAACCGTGGAAAGCTCGATGCCCCAGCACAGGCTAAGGCCTGAAATTATTAAGAAAAATCATTAAGAAAAAGCTGCCAGGAGGCTGGAAGTGAACTAAGCTGCCCAGTTTTCTTGTCCAAGCTCTGTAAAGGCCTGATGTGGACAGACGCCCCAGGGAAAGGGGCTTTGTTGCAGGATACAGGCAAAAGCTGGAACAAATAGATTCCTGCTCTCAAACTTTCATGCACACAGGAATCCCCCCGGGGATCTTGTCGACCTGCAGACTCTAATTCAGTGGGTCAGGGGGTGGGGGCTGAGATTTTGCATTTCTCACAAGTTCCAAGGCAGTGCCCTGCCGCTGGGCCATGGGCTGCACTTTGACAGGTAAGGAACTAGATCAGCTCCCAGATCTCTTAGCACTCTAACAGCCCATGACTCCGTAGATAGAACCTTCCCTGCTCCAGATGCAACTACCCTTGGGCATTCAAACCCCAGGCCTGCAGCGCTGAATGTGATCTGGGTGAATGCCAGCAGCACCTCATATATTATATAGCAGGTGCTTAACACACATTTGAAGTGAATGGCTACTGGACCTAACAGATGGTGTTAGGTGGTGAGACTAATGACTATTCCAGGTTTAGAGACAAGTATCCAGCCAACAAGGCATTTCAAGCAGTTTTCGAGGCATTTTCAACCCAATCTCAATAGCACACCAAGGGCCCCATGAAAGGATTATTCTGCTTACTCCATGTTTGCCCACTTAGCTCCTAAGCTACCCGACTAATTTTCCACCTCATTCCTTGTTCTGTTCCTCGTCATCTTCCTGGGTCTAACCACACTGCTTATTCCATAGTTACACCCTTACTTTCCACTTAAGAAGGACACACATGCTCGTCTTTCCTGGACCTAAATTCTGTCCCATCGATCGACTATGCAATGCTCTTCCCAGCCTGATCTAAGAACCTGGGCTAACCCATAGCTCACCTTCCCCATCTATCCTGTCCTGTCGAGCTGGTGGACCCGTTTGGCAACACGGTCTGAGAGGTGAAATGCTGGATTTGGAGATAGGCCCCCTAGGCTCAAGCACAGCTTTTCTCTCCACTTATTCTGTGACCTTGGACAAGTAACTTATCAGCTCTGAATCTCAGTTCTCTCCTCTAGAATGGGAAGAACCACATCTCCCCTGCAGGTGGGATAAGACTAAGATAACACATATGGAAACAGCATCACCTCAGACACAGAACCAATGCATTTGCCTCCCCTTTTCCTTGGTTACTGATGAGAATTTCTAGAGTCAGTCTGCTTTATGCCAACTCTACAGGTTTGTGCCATGAAAACTTTTGAAGCACTTGACAGTTCAGTTAACTTGATTAAGTTGCTAGAGTATTTCCAGGTGCACCTTAGGTTCATTTTGTGCTTCCCTCCACCATCTTGAAACACAATGTCAACCAGTAAATTTCTCAAAGGGGCCCATAATCTGTATTATTAATGAAATCAATGAAATATGATGCTAAGTGGAGGGTATGCAGGTGCCCTGAGTGAGGCTTCCGGTTTACAGAACTACTAGGGTCAGAAATGACAGAGTTCAAGAGTGAACCATATTATTGCCTATATTCATTGGCTTGGTTTCTGATCAGTCTTGAAGAAGTCATCTGCTTTTATCAAATAACAGAGGGAACATTGGAAAATGTGGGGAGGGCACTAATGTTGCCCCTAACAGGCTAAGTGTGATGAAAACACTGTGGTGAGGCCAGATTATTCAGTTTAACCTTTGTAACAACCCTCTGAGGTACATATTAGAAACCTGAATTTAAAAATGCGATAATTGAGACTCTGAGAGGTTAACTAACCTATCCAAGGCCCCACAGCCAGGAAGCAGGGTGCATTCCCAGATCTACCTGACTCCATCCCATGCCCTTCACATGACACAGGTATAAGTGAGGCCTATAATTTATAGAGCTCTGAGTTAGGTACCGATCAAGAGAAGGGGTGTGACACTACTATATATACAATAGACAACCAACAAGGACCTACTGTATAGCACAGGGGACTATACTCAATATTTTGTAATAACCTGTAAGGGAAAAGAATCTGAAAAAGAATAGATATATACCTGAAACACTTTCCTGAAACTAACTTACACCTGAAACTAACACAACATTGTAAATCAACTATACTTCCAAAAACAAAAAGGGAGGGAAGTGGTGTGTAACATACCAACAAAGATGCACATCCTGTGTATCAATTTCCCCACATGAGATGATTTCCTCCATTCCTGCTTCTTCCCCCGCTGTTTGGTTTCAGGACAACCTTGCATGAGGACAGACTTGGACAAGGACAGCCCTATACAATGTGGCTCTCCATGGTGTGTGTGTGGGAAGGGTACATGTCTGAAACACTGGGGGACATTTCCAGACCTCCTCCACAGTCACAGAGTCACAAACATGCTCCCCCCCCCCCACCTTCTGATAGAGGAACCATCAGCAGGGGAAGGCCTAAAGCAGGGATATTCTTTACAAGACACAGCTGGGATACCTTTCTGGAAGCCAAGCATCTCTACCTTCCTATAACAAACCGACGGCACAGTCAGCAAGGTGAATGCCAGAGCTTTCCTGCCCACTCTCAGCTACCTGCTCTGACCCAGAGCAGATGGACCAGTGAGATCCACAGGTGATGTGAAAGCCATCTCCTCCGATCACATCAGTCCGCTTTCGTAGTAAACCTGTCACCAGGGACACTAATAGCAAAATTAATTCACTTGAGTCCTACCATCTCTTCCTTCTCCTTTCCACTGCTAGTAGAGATGTCGGACATCAGAGAAATGGCCAAAGGGCAGGACTCGATGCTTTCACTGCCCAGGGCCTGGGTTCAATCCCTGGTTGGGGAACTCAGATCTCACAAGCTAGCTGTGTGGTGTGGCAAAAAAAAAAAAAAAAAAAAGAATACACCAAGGGCATCCATGTGCCCTTTAATAATTAATCTATTAATAACTAATCAGTTAGCCCTTCCATAATTAAGGACTGGGTACTAATCCCTGATGACTTGGAAGGATGTGGATTGGCTTTTTTTAAAAACCTTAAGAATGCCTATCTCAAGTCACTGTGAACCTGGCTCTAGAAACAGGGGCTGTTGACTTCAAGGCTGCATTCGACGGTTTGAGCTACCCTGAGCCTGCCTGGGTGGAGCTACCCGAAGAGGCTGTTCCTCTCCTGCATACCGACTGGCATGCCAATCCCATAGCCCTTGGTGTCCAGCAGGCCCCCAATCTGAGTGAGGTTGCAGTTGCGCTGCCGATAGTACTCATTCATGGTGGATTCCAGAAGGAAGGCGTAGTTGGAATTCAACACCCTGGCGATCCCCTCCTCCGTGCTCTTCACGAACACACTCGGCTGCTTGGAGTACATGTAATTCCACATGCGCTGGTAGGTCTGATAGCGGGAATTCTGGGAAAAGAACGCAAGGAAGCAGGTTGAGGAAAGAGAAAGGAGATGGTGGCCTGGAAAGGGAGGGCATCCAAGTGGCCCCTAAAATTCTGGCCCTTCTGCTACCCAGTCCCCTCCTTATACTCAAGAACCTGTTCCCTTTCATCTCACAACGTCACTGCTGAATGGCAGGAGGAGAGGGTTGTGCCTTTGATACCTTTTACAAAGACAAAGAAGGAACAGGGTCTGAAGGTGTGTAAACTCCGCCTACTGCTTCGATCATTGGTTCTGCTTCATCCACCCATCTTCCATTGCCAACCTCCATGTTCTGACCAAAGTGAGAATGGAAATTCTGGCTGTGTCCTCTACTGTCCTTCAGCGCAGAGGCAGCAAACTCAGGTTCATTCTGGACTTTTAAGAGACGTCATCTGAAGGAGCAGTGCCGGCTCTTCTCTATCAACCCTGAACTAATCCGTCAATCACATATCCAATGTTGGCTTCTAGTTTACAAATAATAACAAGACTGAGAGAATTCTGGGGGTCTAGCGAAACCCTGTGTCTGCATGATGTCTTCACTGGTCCCTGTGCCAGTACCCCTGAGACTTGCATGGGAAACAGAAAACTGAAGGCCTTGGACTTGTTTAGTGTGATAATGAACTTCTTGGGTCACAGGTTGGATAGACACTCACTGACTCCAGGGGAATCTGCTTCCCTAGAGAGCCTGAAGCAAATGCAAACTACTCCTATGTCTGGCCCGGCTCTGCCTGCCTTGGTAGCCTGCCAGCTGACACACCATTGTGGCAGGGCCGGCTCCTGAGCCTTGCAAGGGAACCTCGGAGAAGCCAAAAGGGTCCTGATCTGAGATCTATCTAGTCTGGGATCAATGAAACCAGCTCGGCTTAATCTAAATTTCCTTACACGTTAGTCATTTGTGTATTACTCCAATCTTGCTTTGTCTAAGCACTACTTATAAAATGTAGCCTACTTAAAAAATTTAAATGCATACGTTAGCCACATCTTGTGCAGAAATATAAATAAAAGTACAGGTTAGAGTCACTGCATATTTTTTTCTAATACTCATTACAATAAATATGAAACCGCTGCAATTAAAAAATAGTTCTAACACTAAAATCATCTCAAGTAGCACTAACCATTCATGTATAACACTTTGGGACAAGGCTGATATTAACCCAAGTGCTTTGGGGACCTGGTTCCATGGGTATTTGGGGGAGCAGGGGAAAAATGAGCCCCATGAGAACCTCCAAACTAGATGTTCAAAAGGGATGATGGGATGAGGCAAGATGTTTTTATCTCCAGTGGACAAACATCTCAACTTTATTCTGCCCGATTCCTGATGTTGGTGAGCAACCATATGGGTTTACTTGGAAGAAGGTCATGCTGGAGCCTCCGTGAATCGTGCCATACTCAATGGCGGTCTGGTCAGCCAGGTCATCCACTGACTCAATGGGCACATCCATGCGCTGCACGGTCAGGAAGGCTGCCAGGTTGGCCGTGTAGGATGAGATGATGATCAGCGTGAATGCCCACCTATGTAGGAAAAGACCAAGACGTCATCATTGCCGGGGCAGCCCAGGAGTCTTAAACCCCATCCCCAGTCCTGCTGCGACACTGGAGAGACCAGGTGGCCCTCTTCTGAGGGGCTTAGTGGGGGAAGAGAGAGGAGGCAGGGCATTTGATGGCCACAGAAACGAACAGCTTGGGAGGGTGGCCTAGAAGAAGACAGTGGTTTTCTTTCTCTTATTTCCTAAAGGAGGTGATTACTGGGTTTCTACTCAAAAGAAGGGTGTCCATGAACATGAGACAGCTTGAGAGATGGTGAGTAATTAGCTAGTGAATGAGCTAAGGGTGCCAGCCCTGGAGGCTCTGTTCAGAGCTAGACCTGGGATGCCTCCCGCAGCCCCGTCATGATGCAGCCGACATTCAGAGCAGCATCGCCATGTACTGAGCACCTACTGTGAGCCACACCCACTATCTCCTGTACTCCCTACAACTCAGGGAGGTGAAAATCTTATCCTGATTTTACAGAAGAGAAAACCGAGGCTCAGAGAAGCAAAGTCACGTGGCCAAGTGCCTGAGAAATTTGTATTCTAGAACAAGTTCTACAAATTGTAACAGCAGAAACTCTTCAAGATGAACTGGTGAAAAGCACCTTCGGACTGCTGAGAAGTTGGAATTAGAAAATGCTTTTAGGGCTTCCCTGGTGGCGCAGTGGTTGGGAGTCCGCCTGCCGATGCGGGGGACACAGGTTCGTGCCCCGAGCCAGGAGGATCCCACATGCCGCGGAGCGGCTGGGCCCGTGAGCCATGGCCACTGGGCCTGCGCATCCGGAGCCTGTGCTCCGCAGCGGGAGAGGCCACAACAGTGAGAGGCCCACGTACCGGAAAAAAAAAAAAAAAAATGCTTTTACAATGGTCATGCTATTTCAGAATGGAAGGTTGTTTTATTGGGCAGATCGGACTTATTTAAAATTAGAATAGTTTTGCAACTCAGGCAGCATACATGCTAAAGTCATTAAAACCAGTTTGCTCACTTAAGTAGGTTAAACAAGACTTCTACCATATGGTCAGCAGTATGGATCTGCTTCCTAATCCATTTGTTTATAGGGGTTCAAAGATATATGTAAGCACAACTGAGGTTGGATAATCACCAAATTCTGAATCAGTGGAGTCTGAATTAATGAGGCTTCACTCATTATGAAGACATTGCCAACCAAGGCATAGTGTTTGCCAGGGGCTGCGGCAGCCGGCAGCTTCCAGGTGGATTTCCAAGAGCAGGAAGTCCCATTGTCCCCTTTGCCACGTGTCCAAGAATTCCTTCAGGCTGCCTCCCAGGAGTGAAGGAACAGGGGCATCCATCAACTTGATGGGCGCATCCACACGTGCCAGATCACCAGTAAGGGATCTGGTTTTAGTTCTGGCTTTGTCCAGTTCCACCTGTGAGACCTTGGGGAAAAGCCACACACTTCCTCTGAGCTCGTTTGCTTGTCTAATAAATGGGGGATAATAATGTCTGGTCCACCCGTCTTTGGAGTGTTGTGAGATCAGGTGAGATAATATGTCATTAGTGACTAATAATCTGTAAAGGATGACATGAGTGTGAGATACAGAGACATGTAGAGATGCAATGAAAATCATTTGTCCACCTTTCCTACTTGTGACCTGTAAGGGCCAGGAGTCCCTCCATCTGCAAAACCTGTTCTCCTTGCTCCTGCCTGGGTTCTTACACTCTCTTGGAAGTTGTTTCTCATGAGTTTCCCCCAGAGGAGGCTGGGGTGGTGGTGGTGAGTGGTCCCCAGGTGGAGGCGTGCATTTGGAAGCTGCTCTGCCACACTGTCATGGGTTAATGAGCCCTGGGTGTGGACATGACCTCAGAGCTGGCTGGGGAGCTTCCCCCAGCCCCATGGCTACACTCTGGCATCCGTTCCGCCCTGGGCAGCCATGTGGCTGCTTTTGCCACTGGTCACAAAGGACGGGTCAGAGAGAGTAAGTAGCTCATTGCAAGCCCGTCACCTTTGCTGACAAAGCAAATTATGCCCACTCTCCCTCCAGAGGGGCCAGTGGAGGCTTGCTCCTGGGTGAAAGGGGCATTATCATTGTGAAGCTGGCATTCTCGGCAACGTGGCATTTTCCGTTGCTTGCTCTGGGTGAGGGTGCCACGGTAGGCCACGATGGCCCTGTTTTCTGACCTCCCACTCCCCAGGGAGCCAACCTAACTGAGGCCCTGATTTTATAACCAAGAATTCCAAGAGGCAGAGGGGCGCACCAACACCCCTGGGTCGGGCTGGGAAGGGCGGAGCCTCGCTTCCACAGATGCTCTGGAGCAGCGTAACCGAGCCACCTGGGGCCAGCTATTTACAGCCTGCAGGAAAGGTGGTTCCCCTCAGCACCGGGGCAGACTTTCGCTGGAGGAGGGAATTCCTGGGGGTGGGAGCTGACAGGTGGAGGCAGCAGGCAATGGAGCCCTACGTGCAGCACATGAGAACAAGCACCTCTGGAAGGAAAAGCCCAAGCAGAAAGGGATCAGAATCTGCCTCCGACCTCTCATCTGTGGGTTTCTGCCCAGATTTCCTGGATTTTGAGGGAGCTCTGTGGCTGTGCCTGACAAGACCATCCTTTCTGCCAGGGAACGTGAGACCCAGCTCTCCACAGTGATCCGCTCAGTGACTCCTGGGCACAGCCTGATAATGGGTGAGCACCTTGCCCCAAGGGTTTAAATCCTACTGTATCAGTCCCAGCTGTGTTTCCACCTGCCGATCAGCCCCAGTCCAGTGGCTCGTAGGTAACTGTCCAGATCCCGCACTGTCCCCAGCACCCATGCCCCTTTCGTTTTCCTCTGGCTTACACGGGCTGAGAAGGAGAGGAGCGAATGAAGGTTGTAAGTCCTATAAGCTGTGACACCAAACCTGACAGTGGGTTTTTAAGTGAGGATGGGAAACTTGCCTTTCAACACTACATCGGTATTTCATTTCCCCCCATAATGGCCTAATAGCAATGATTAGTCCAAACATTTATGTAGCACTTCCAAATTTTCAGAGAACTTTCCCACACATTAAATCATTCCACCATGTTCCTTTTGCCCTGCCAAGAGGAGAAGAGAGCTCCAGGAAGAGGCTGGCTGACTGTCCGTGTAGACCATGATGGCAACTTGCTCCCTGAGGTCCTGTCCAACTCCGAGCTACTAACAGCTTGCGTTTTCCCACACCTGCTAAGGTGGGCAGGTCCGGCAGGCCCCCAGAGCCAGGTGCAGAGGGGCAAAGCTCCAGAAAGCTGCTGGAGGGGGCGTGGGCTTGGATTTCTCCTGCAGGGACGTCCTGCTACATGCTTACATTTGCATAAATCTGCATATGTGTTCACAGGCCCTGCCTCTCAACCTCTGGTCGTTTTCAGGTCAGGAAGTTATAACTGCTTTGCTGTGGGCCATCAAGGCATTTTCTCACTCCGTCTCCTTTCCTGCCTTGGCTCCCCTCTGCATCTAGACCTCCAAGGCAGAGAACAGAGAAGGAGAAAAGATGGCACAAAGCGCACCCAGCCACTGCCCCCAAACCCTCTGAGCTGGCAGAGGCTGTCCTAGGGCAGAGCTGAGGTTCCTGCCTACCGGAAGCTGGATCAGGGCTCATCGGAGGACCCAGGATCTTACCAGACGCCACTGACGCAGCGGGTGGATAAGGCGCGAGGCGCGATGGTGGAGCCCTGCTGCATGAAGCCCCCGACCGGAAACCAGAGGCTGTTGCCGAGGGAGTACTGATTCACCAGGAGGTTGCACCGGCCCTGGGCACACGGGTGGGGTGTGTACCACTCGTAGGGCGTCAACCTGTGAAAGAAAGGGACACATACCAGTGCTGCGGAGGGTGCGTGTGAAGGAAGGGGTGCTGAGGGTGTGAGGGCGCTCCCCTGCCTGGCCTCGCCCCGAGACCTTGGTAGCTGGCCTGTGGCCTTGGCTAAGCCCCTCCCCTCTAAGGGACTTGGGTGTTCCCCCTGAAAAATGAGAAAGCTGGACTATGTTGGCAGTTTTGGAACTGTTTTTCTTTAATCAAAGAAACATTTTATTTTTTTCAAAATAAATCAAGTCACAGAATAGACGGCTGGGAATTGCTTGTTCTGCCTCCTTCAGTTCCCCAAAGTGACCAAAGAGAGACCCTACAGCCCCACGGAGCCATGGCTTGAAAGCCGTCGGCCTAGAGTAGTAATTCTCAAACTTTAACTGACAACAGAAACACCAAGAGGGCTTGGGAGAGCACAGATCGCGGCAAAAGCGTCTGATTCGGTGCATCGGGTTGAGGTCTAGAATCTGTAAGTGCCTAGCTGATGTGGATGCCACTGGTCCAGGGACCACACTTTGTGAACCACTGGCCCAGATGCTCCCTCAGGCTCAGGCCCTGGTTCTCAACCCTGTCTGTGTTTCAGACTCACCTGGGAGCTTTTTTTTTTTTTTTTTTTTTGCGGTACGTGGGCCTCTCACTGTTGTGGCCTCTCCCGTTGTGGAGCACAGACTCTGGACGCACAGGCTCAGCGGCCATGACTCACAGGCCCAGCCGCTCCGCGGCATGTGGGATCTTCCCGGACCGGGGCACGAACCCGCGTCCCCTGCAGCGGCAGGCGGACTCAACCACTGCGCCACCAGGGAAGCCCTGGGAACTTTTGAAATAATGCCAATACCTGGATTCCACACCCAGAGGTTCTGATTTAATTTGTCCAGGTAAGGCCTGGATATCAGCATTTTTAGGGCTCCCCAGCTGAGCATGATGGGCACACGGGGTTGAGAAGGGTGGCGCTCCCTCCCGCTGTCGCTCGCAGCCTCACGCTGGCCTCCCTCTCCCAGCGGTACCTCTAATGCCCTTTCTTCCTGCCCACCAGACACATGCTCTCCCTCTTCCGCCCCAGCCTGTCTCCCACACAAAGCCTTCCAGCTCTGATGTGAGAGACGCGTCTGGGCGTGTGCTGAGCAGAGCAGGGCAGGTCTGCCTCTTCACAGGGTGTTACCATCATCCCCGGCCTTCCCTTCAGCCTAGTGCGCATGTGCCGTGCTGCAGGGCTGGCCCACATTCCCATCGCTGCCGCCTGTTCCCGAATACAAGGCCAATGTGCCATCGCTGGCCCCTGCCCCAAGATGTGCCCCTTCTCTTCGTGGCCTGCGGGGCTGGCTTGTACCCGTGGTGCCTCACCTCGGTGGTTCCCAAGCCTACGGGCCATTGGAAGTGAGCTTCAAAAATACAGATTTCCAGGCCTCATCCCTAGAGATTTGGAGATGATCAGACATAGAAATTCAAGTTTTTTAAAGCTCCCTGTGTGACTGTGGTATCAGCTGGTTTGGGAATGGCTGCCTTAGAGCAGTGGTTTTCAAATATCTTTTCACCTCTAAAATCTTACCCAGAAGTACACTATATAAGAGAAAAGTGGAGCTGGTCTGAATGAAGACGGGCTGAGGTCCCAGAGCTCTGGCTGTCCAGCCTCTTCACACCGCCCCTCCACGTCTCTGTAAACTTCCAGGAGTCTCCACGCTCGGGGAACCCTGTCTGAAAGCCACTACCTTGGGCCAGATTACCCTACGCTCAGATATCACGTATATTGGATATTATAGATATATGTATATATAGGATGTATGATCAGACCTTTTGTACAGTTTCTTCTTGGTTAATCTTTTTGTTAATTCTGGATCCTAGGGGGCAGTGTGTGCATGTGTGTGTGTGTTTGTGTGTGTGTGTGTTTGTGTGTATGTGTAGGGCAGAGAAGAGGGGCTGTTTAAGCCCCCAGGGCCGATTGAAAAGCTTCAGGCTGTGGCAGGCGTGGTGAAGCAGCCGTGTGTGTGTGTGTGTGTGTGTGTGTGTGTGTGTGTGTGTGTCTGGTAACCAAGCCCTAAGACCATTTGCAGGTCTCCGAGGTCACCTGAGAGCCATGGCTTACTACACACAGGGGCTCAATCAAAGGGAGCAAGAGCGAACTGCAGGGCAGCGGAGACAGGACTCAGGCAGACAGTTTCGTTTGAGCAGGCTCAGGCAGTGCGGCCAAGTGCAGAGGGGAAGCCTCGCCAGTCGACACGGACGACAGATACTTGACAGTGGCAATGCCTACAGGCCCGGGGTGGGGGGCGGTGGCGCCCGAGTGCCAAAGCATCAGCAGCGTTTGAAGACGACCAGGTTGTAAGCAAGGCCTTTCCCTGTTTGGTTGGATCTCATGGGCCAGGGAGGACTTCCTGAACTTGGCTTTGATCTCCACTGGAAGAGGCTCAGACTGAGTGATTCAATGCCTCTCGGGCAGGCTGGGAACTGCCCCGGGGTTTGGAACCCCGCAGTTCCTTGGGGCTCCATCTTCTAACCGGAGGGAGCACAGTCTCCCCTCAAGCACTGAATAGACATGCTCTTGGGGAAGACCCCACCCCACAGAGGTGGAATGTTCACTACAGAATCATCGGGCCCTGCTTCTGTGGCCCCGAGGCAAAGGAGACCGCTGGACCAGAGCCACTGTCAGCCCTTTAGAAGCTCCTCCAGGGTGGTGAGCTGAGCACTGGGTGGGAATTGGGGATCTGAGTGAATGACCCTGAGCCACAAGAGCTTGTTCTGCTTCTGGAGAGTCAGCTGGCTCTCCTGAAGCCCAGGCTGGTCCAACCGAGCCTCAGAGAGAAACAACCCTCTCTGTGCCTCTTGCTGGGATGCTCCTCGGCTTCTTCCGTAGGCCCAGGGACAGTCTCTGGTTTCCGGGGGCGGGGGCAGGGGCGCTGATTCTCTCCCCAACCCCTGATCTGGACCATTTGTCTCAACTCAGCACTGCTTGCCAATGCTTCTCTCTGTCCTGCCCCCCTGCTGCCGGCGGCCCTCCAGAGTCCCCATTCAACAAGGCAGCTGTGCTTTCACAGACAGACTCGGGCTGGGGAAGGGCCAGGCCCTCTGCAGAGGAGGCCTCCCTCGCCTGTGCCACCGAGGCCTCCAGTCCCCCACTCCAGATTTGCAGGCTCTGCTTCTTGTCATTCAGCACTTTGTAGCAGATCCTGGCAAGGACGGATGCCAGGGCTGCCAAAGGCTCGGAACTTAATCAGAGTGATCTTCCTGCCACCTTCCTCCCCTCCTCTCTCTCCCAAAGCTCCTACACAAGCAGGCGGGCTGGAGACTGGGGAACGAGAGGGGTAAGAGGCAGGGGCGCAGAAGCAAATTCGGACAAGCTCGCCTGTCTTCTTTGCGCATAGTAGGGGATGTGGGCAAAGACGGATGGATGGGCAGTGCCAGGTCAACAGCTGGGCAGAGTGGTTCAGGTCCTGGGTCCCTCTCCCGTCCCTCTGGTTTGGCACCAAGGGCTTCTCAACCCACCGTTCTGCGGCTCCCCACCCCCTCCCATGCAGTTCCCAGAGGTGGACACTAGGTGGCGGTGTGAGGACAGGGAAGGGGAGAGGAGAGTACCGAGCCACTAGGAAGAGGACACAGCTGACGGCCAGATAGGCTAGAAGCATGAAGAGCCAGACGCCAGGAGAAAAAGGGTCCAGGAAGGAGAAATAGCCGGGTCTGCGGCCCTGGAAATGGAAATAAAAACAAGATTCACCGTCTACATTCAGTCAGCATGGCCCTTGGGAAGGGCAGGGCAGGGCAGAGGGGATGGTGACCTGGGTCTGGCCCCAGATTGCATTGCCTTGGGTTATGGGTGATTGGTTTAAATGACACAGGGCTGAAGGTGTAGAGGGGGCTGCTCTGAAACACTTACCCAGCCCTGATCTCAGAAGATGAAACAAAAGAACAGCGGGGGGCCCTCGTTACTTCCTAGGATGAAGGAGGCTCTGTGCTGGGCAGCAGAACAGCCCTCAGTGCCCCTTATGTGCTGTCCCCACATCCTCCAGGGGCAGTGTGTTTGGGCTCTGAAGCACTTTTGAACCGTTGATGTCTGCGGTGGTGGATGGAACGCTAGCCCCCCACTCAGACACTCACCTCTTTCTCGTGAGGATGCTAATATGACAGGCATCCTTGGTTTATTTGTTTGCAGTGTGATCTCACGCACAGTGAGACCTTCTCAAACCGGTGCTGTGAGGCCCAGATTCTTATTTTCATTGTATTAGGGAAGAAATCAAAGCCCAGGGCACTCGAGAGATGCGTCCAAGGTTATAGGGCTAATCAGTGGAAGAGCTGGGACTCAAATGCACGCTTCCTGACACAAAGCCCAGGGCTTGTACCATGATGCTGTGGGAAAAATGTTTGTCCCCAGCACAGGGACATGCTTGACTAGAGTCATGGGAGCCAAAGGATGGAGCCAGGAACAGAGAGCTGAGGACCAAGCTCCAGGGCATTTTCTGTAGGAAAGTGAGATAGAATGAGAAGGAAGGAGTTCCAGAACCTGGTCCCAGTCTTCAGCTGTGTGGTCTCCGGCAAGTGCACACCCCCCTTCAGCCTCCGATGGAGCTGGATTAGATCAAAGGTGACACCCTGGTGACCTGCAGCCCACAGACAACTTGTTTGTTTACCTGCAGTGCTTACCCATTTTGATTAATTGCCAACATTAAATGATTGGGAGATTTCACATAAAAATCCAGATTTCTGGCTTAAAAAATGGGCGATCTGGCAACACTGGGCCTAATTCTCAACCAGCTGGAGCTGAGTGGCGGCTGCCCAGTCAAGACAGGGCCCCTCTCTGCAGCTCCCCACGGCTGCCTTGGTCTTGCATCAGGCTTACTTCTTCCATTTACTATGAAACCGCTGGACTAGATGCTCCCTAAAGACCACTCTAAATTGAAAATGATATGATTTTATGATTCCAGGAATCTAGGAAGTCCATGGATAGGGCAGAAAATCAGTATTAAGCTCAGGGGTTCTACAAACATGTAAACTTTCAAGCTCAAGTGTATATGAGTCACAGCACAGCCTACTGTCACTAACAAGGTATATGTCACTTTTACACTGGGGTCCCCAGAAACACAAAGGGCAGCTGCCTATGCCAGTACTGATCTCAACCAGCTTTCTGGGCTTTCGTTATCCAAGGACGGCCAGACCATGGAGCCCATGCTGAGAAACTCTAGGTAACAATAGCTCTCCCAGTGCAGCATCTAAGGAGTGGGGGAGACAAGGCTGCATGGTCCCCTTGTATTCGAACAGCTCCAGTCGTGGGTGATTTTCGACTTTTCTTCTGGTGGGCTTTCCATCCCTTCCCAGAAAGCCAGTAGGCAAATTCCCAAAGCACTTGGGAGTACAGTTTTTACACTCCCATTTGGGGACACAGTCCGGAGGGTACAGAGTGAAGAAGTCAAAGCTTATCCTCTGCCAATGGGGCACCTGTTCTTGGGCCCTTCATCAGTGTGACAGTGACCTCTTGGGTGGTCTGTCTGAAACTGGTTTTCTCTCCCAATAAGGCTGAGACCAGGGAACTGCCCTTTGATACCAATTGCAAGCACTCTGCCTCATGTGCATTCATGCTTGAGCTTCCCAGAACGCTCAGGTGACTGACTGGGAAAATAAAACAACTCGAGGGACAAAGCCCAGTAAGCAAGCGAACAGGAGAGAAATGGGGAGCGGGCCCTTTAAGTGTGTCTGGTCCTATCACTATGTAAATTCTCTAACAGGAAGAAGGACTCAAGAGCGGCAGAGTTAGTCATTCTTGTGTCCGTCACGGCTAACCGTGTCTTTGTCTTCATCCTAAGAGCCAATGGCAGACAAAAGAAGACACAAAGTGAGTCCAGGAGGGGGAAGAAGGCCCTCATGATGCATATACACCTTCTGCGCATGGGCCACTCCTGGGGTCCTTCTATCCCCCAGAGCTTCTCTGGGCAAACGGACATGAATTCTATGCCTGTCGCTCATGACCATTTCACTCTGTGTCTCCCAGTTGAGAGATAGCCAAGAGAAAAAAATCTTTCATTGTAGCTTTCTGAATCTGAAACCCCATTAGATGCTCAATGTCAGAAATCTATACCTGATTATATCACAGCAAGTGAAATTGAGGAAAATGACAGCACTATTTAAAGCTGCCATATTTGGTTATGGGTGATAAGAAATGATGCACAGCCATGGGAAAAATTCCTGGAGACTCAAGTTATAAAACATAGAACATCACACAAACAAGGATCAAGACATAAACAGAGCTCCACTGGAAACATATCAGTCACGTTGGCAAGGCAACATCTGATTCCACTTGTGATTGACTGACGCCAGCCAGAAGAGCAAGGAATGGGCAGTCATCTGAGATTTGGGTCTGAGCTCGCACAGCCTAGGCTTGGGCTGAGCCCAAGCTGTTTTTCTGATGCCAAAGAGAAGTATGTTACTTGAAGGCTCTGACCGCCTACCTTTTTTTTTTTTTTCTATGCAGATGCCTTTGATTGCTTCCTTCCCCAAAGACATCTGAGTACTGGTGCTTGGGGCAAATCAGGTGTCACATGCCACAGGCATTTCTTCATAGTAATAGATTTTCCTTAACCCGAAGGATGTATGACGGTGATGCTCTTCTTCTGAAGAACTCAAAATGCTTCACTATGTTCTCTTGATTTCAGTACCCAGTTCTCCATATTGACAGATGGAAGAACTGCGACCCATGGAGATTAAGCGCCTTGCTCAAATCACTGGTGATGGCTTCAATTTCTCTGGTGCTCATTCGTCAAGCTGTGCCATAGGGATGCCATGCTCTCCTTCTTTCAAATGGCAGCTGTACCACGTCTCCCTCTCCTTTTTATCTTTGCAATTTGCTCCAATAAACTCCTTAATTAATCCCATGCCTTCTCCCCAATACCAACAGAATCCCAACCTACTCAATCTCACCCCCTTAAAGTACTCTAAACATCATTTATTTATACCCATCATCATTTATGATGACTCTGTTGCATTTATAGGCATTTGTATTGATTTATACATGTCTCTGTTGACTACAGGTTGGGCTGGTTCCTTCTGGCGAATACAGCCACTTTGAAGGTAGATAACTGGTTATATATAGTCTATGCCCCAAATGTCTATGACAGATCAAGTCCTGCAGATGGGGTGGAAAATTAGATGGCACCAAAATGAAAACTGGTTCCTTGACTTTTGTACTGTCCACCTCAGAGACAATGATGCTTCAGACTGACCACATCAGAGCCAGCATCATTGATGCCATCTGATGGTGAAAGAGACTGGGCTGGTCACCAAATGATCACAATCCCTGCATGGTGAGGCCCTTTGAATGTTAGCAGTGGAGCTGTCCATGGAGCTATGAAGTGGTACTAATCTCCCCTTGCCTGTTGAAAATTCCTCTTATCCATAAAGAAAATCTGTGAGCTCACTGATACTTCCTTCTCTATGTACTAGAAGAAATGACATTATAGTAAGGAAGTAATTGCTTTCCCAGAGTCTGGAGCCAAATGCATAAGGACACCAGAGCCAGGTAATGCAGGGCAGGTAGTGAATTAAAACACAGACTCTGGAGTCAGCCTGCCCAGGATTGAATCCTGGCTGTGCCACGTACAATTATGTGTCCCTGTGCAAGTTACTTCACCTCTCTGGGTCTCCATTTCCTCTTTTGTAACATGGGGGTAGTAATAAAACCTACCTCATGGGTTGTTTTAACACACAGTAAGTGCTATAGAAGTGTTTGCTCCCCCTCTGTCTAATGGTAGCCACGAGTGAAGGGGGTGCAGGGAGATGGTATATGACAAAAGAGGGAACTTCCTTTTATATTGATTCTCCCTCAGTGGACAAGAAATACTATTTTCTGTCCTATAGGAGCACATGCTAAAGATGCTTGGAGGGAGAATGCCGTCTGGCCACAGTTGCTTTCCATAGCTCCTAGAGTTTCCATGGGTAATAATACATAAATCATGAGGGTTCCCCCAGGGCTCTCCAGGGAAGCGATTAGGGTAATACGAGGCTCTCTTCTGGAAGGCTGGCCCTTAGAAGCTGGTGATTACAATCTTTGGAACTCAGTTCCACCTCAGCCTTCCCCAAAAAGTCAAGACAGAGTGGCTCACATGTGCAGCAGGTTCTCCTGTGTCTATGTAAGGGCTGTGCACCCTCATCCCCATTTCCTACACACAAACCAGTGATAGCAACTCTCTTCCTTCCCTGAATCCGCTCCTTCTCCAGCACAGCCAATGACAAAGGCGCATCCTGTCGCCCATGTAGTTTTGCCAGTCTTTAGAACTAAATGGCCATTCATAGAGAGGTTTCTTTCCACTCCTACTTGTCATCAATGGCCAATAAAATACTCTTTAGGGCTAAAGAAAGTGCCAGGAGCCCATGGATAACCTCCCTCAGTGTGTCTGCAGTGGATTTTCTTGATGATACTTTGGTTTAGCACGCACTTCTCACATCCGACTCCAAGAGTAAAAAAGAAGTAAGTAATTAATTCCTCTTCACTTAAAACACCCAGATGGGTTTGTTGCCTATATAACCCAGATGCTGGCATATCTATTTTCACTTTGCTGATTGGAAATCTGGCAGGAGAAGACCTAAGTTCTAAACCTGGCCCTGACCTTGCCTTGCTGAGTGATTCTAGGTGAGCCACTCAGCTTCTCTGGTGCTGTTTTCTTCTTCCAGAAAGTGGGACACCACAATCAACGTGAAGGGG